GGTGCTATGTCGTTGGAGTTGCCTCCTCCGGTAAAGTCTGTTGTTTTTCTGTTTCCTTACGCTTCTGAGGGGGACTGAGCAGCTCCGTTTTTTTGCTGTGTTTTTCGCCCCCTTTCTCAAGTGGGTAATTCTCGACTACATAGCACACGGTTCTATTATTTGAGTTTTTACGGTACATCCGTCACGTTGCGATTACCTTGCAGCCTCATGACTCAGCACGGCCCGAGGTGCGGAACAAGAGTAGGCGAGGAAACAAAGCAGCTGATGAACACGGAACAAGCATGGGCCAAGAATAATCCCCTCGCCGAGTTGCCAGGGCCAGGTGTACGATACCTCCTCCGCTGCTGCCACGGAAACTGTTTGTCCTGAGATCCCCAACACCATGCTACTCTCTATTACCAGGGGCCCCAGATTTGCTCACTTGCTCCTACTCGTAGGGGGACAATCCGGCAATGCAGGCCTCCACGGCCTCCAAATTTTCTCCACACTCTCTTCCTAGGCGGGAAGCGGAAGTTCCCCGGAGTCTACGTTCATGACTTCACGGGCGACGGAACAAACCTCCGGATCATTCCTACCCACATCGGCAACTTGTTTTGTCCGTCGTTTTAGAATATTTGAGCTGGGGCGCCCACACAGAGGTGTATCCAAATTTCAAGACCAAGTAATGGATGTGATATTGCTTGGACATTCCATGGCCGGATTCTGGCGACAGAGGTGGCGTTGCCGAGAGGGGGGCGCGGGGATTCAGGCATAGGGGATTGGGGGTTGTCAAGCTCGATTCACCATTTCCGGGGATGCATCCAGAGGTTATATCCGCTAGGTTGGGGAGTCTGTTTGGGTCGCAGGGGAAAGGTCATCACAGGGAGCCTTGGTCACATGAGGATGAGGGGGTGTACAGAGCCGTAAATTCGACGGTGGCTCTGTTTTAATCACAATATTCTTGTGGGGGGCGTGAATACTAAAGGTGGTATCATATAGAGGGAACTTGGGATTTGGCGCTGAAGTTTGTTGAATAAGGCCATTCTCATCTTACCTATGCGATGGGGCAGTACTCGATGTCACAGCCCCAGTTAGGGTTTCCTTTCTAGTCTAGCCACCCTCTATCATATATCGGAATCGTTTAACTAATTGCAATAGTGGCTTCCTCGCTGATCCCGCAGGCCTGAAAAACCGCTATGATACAACGCCATTCGAAAACTCGAAACCGGCAGTCAGCCCCGAACAGTAAAACAGTCCATGTATGCTTTGTAACTTACTACACGTCCTCCACCGGGCGCTCCCAGCATCCGCCGAAACCCGCACCTGCGGTAGAGCACCTAGAGCATTCATTTGGCCTCGCCGACGCGGGAGTGGAGGGGCCGGGTGGCAGCGAATTAGAAGAAATGACTCGGGAATTACACCTTGGGGTCAACTTGTCCCCCCCAAACCGTACTCCGAGAATCCTTGCACAAGTACTATCTCCTCAGCAGGTAAAATAGCGTTAACACAACTAGATCTCGGCCCCATGTCCATTGAAAAGGCGTTCTACGAGGATATACCAATGGAACCTATCCTTGTGCCTATTTTAGAAACTACAGCCATGGCGCCTCCTCTACCTCCATGTATTCCACCACTCCGGGACCAGCGCCCCTATAAATCTCCCGCGCTGCCGCCGAAGCCCACCGAATTTGACTGCTGTCACACCCCGCTATCCCGGATGGCCAAATTTTGTGGATTTCATCCGTGACAACGAGGTATCCGGAACAACAATGACAGGAGTTCATGTCACTTCACATTTCAAGAGGAATAAATATCAATTGGGATAAATCGAGTCTATTCTTATACAAGACTTTATCTTAATGATTATTCATGAGCAGTATTATCATAATTGGTAGTCAAGCTGGTAGCTACAACGTAGGCTATGATACCACGCAGCATGTTTCTCTGCTGACCAACTCGAGTACATTACCCCAAATACCATGATTTGAGTATCGGTGGTAGGGATCCAAAGTATCGTACTGTACTCGAGTGCTCTGCCTCCACGTCCCGGTTCAACCATGAGCCTGCAATGCCTCTTTCCCACATTCTTTATATTTGGCCCATTCTTTTCTCCTCTTTTCGTCTAGCTTTTCTAACTATAATCATAGCACCCAGTTCGGCAGGTTAATTTTTTATAGGAACAGGGGGTATGATTTCCCAAAATCTTATACGGATACGAAAACACCTTTTTCTGGTTCAACAGGGTTATTTCTGTAAGGAATCGGAGGAGCAAAAGATTCCGTCCGGCCCAGCGGGGTACGACTGTACCATACTCTCATGGGTCTTGGGGCAATTTTCGACAACTGGCCTCCGAGCGCCCTCGGTATGACACTATTTGACCATTCGCCTATCCGCTGGGATAAGCAAACATAGTGAGGATTCTGGGGTGAGGTTTTAATGCACAGATAGTCTTAAAAATCGCGAGGTGCTGCTCGGCATGCTCTCACGATGGTTTATCTGTCGGAATAGTCTGTGTGAGCGCGGTTTGGTTTCTGGCGCGCTATGGCTTCGGGCGCACATAGGCTTCCGCCCGCGCAGTTTGGCTTTTCAGGAACGCGCTTCGGTCGCGGCAGTGTGCGGGAGTCTTGGAGAAGTACATCCACCGGAAGGATGGCGGAAGGAAGGTACAAAGGAAAGTAAAAAGGACCAAAGGAGGGCCGGAGGCTAGGGAACCGAAGTTTGTCTTTTTTTTGTTAGCTGTTTTGTTTGCTAGTGTGTGGGAGACGTACCTGGAAGGATGGAGGGAGGTTAGGACTTTGTCGTCGTTCGTGTCGACACATACTCCTGTCTTTACCGTTAGTTAGTAGCGAGACCGCGCGATACCGGTAGTTAGAGAGGCGAAGAGTTTTCTCCCCCCCCTGTGGGTTGTGCGACCCTTTCATGTGGGTGATCTTGGCGTTGTTTCGTTTCACAGTCCATCACTCGTTTTGTTTCGTACCGTCGTTCGTTCGTTCGACAAATTAATGTCTGGAACTACTCATAGAACAAAGGCCGCTTATGAAAGTCACGTTCAACTGAACTCACAGAGGTCTTGACAATAACGATCGCTCGATCGGAAATTATTTGTTGGATTAGAATATGGCTGGGGGGGGGGGGGTGGAACGCAAATGAGGAGAGCCAAGAGAAATGAGAAAGGCGACGAGGAAACAGCGGTCGAACAAAATTGGGAGGGTAGATCTGGCGTCTGAGGATGAGAGCCTGTTCCAATATGATAGGAGAATGTGGGAGCTTCGGGGGTGAAGTGTGAGGGAGTTGAGGTAGCACGGACGGTCCAGTTGAGCACGGATGACCACCAGCGGAGTTGGAACCAGTATCATTGGCGCCCTATACCGCTTCTGGCTCCTCGGGGTGTATAGATGTGGGGGCAGGCGGGGCGTGGGGGGCGGCAATCTCAGGAACAGGAGCTTCAACATTCGCTGGCACGTGCTCGTTTACGTGGTCGGTGGCCGGCGGGATCTGGGGGGCCGGAATTGATCATGTCCCGTTCTTGTAAGATCTTTACAATACCACCATGTCGGTTGGAGAAAGCCAATGACAATGGCGTTTGGCCCCCGATATCAGGCATAGTGGTGAAGACATCCTTCCGTTCTAAGAGAATCTTTACCACCCCCTCATGCCCGCACCCAGCCGCCCACGAGAGTGGCGTTCGGCCATATTCGGTGTCTGCCTGGTCGGGATTGACTCCATCTCGTTGCAAAAGCATCTGTAGTACCCCCTCATACCCGTACGAAGCCGCCCATGAGAGTGGCGTTCGGCCAGATTTGGTGTCTGCCTGGTCGGGATTGACTCTCTCTCGTTGCAAAAGCATCTTTACTACCCCCTCATGGCCCTTCGAGGCCGCCCATGAGAGTGGCGCTTGGCCATATTC